TAAACAACAGTAAACAAACAAACCAAAGAAGTGAATATACGGTTACACATGCATGTCGACATGTCGGCAATTAAAGAATATTACTCTTAAGTGTGTAAGCAGTTGTTACTGCTTGCCTAACAGATTGCCCCTACCTTACTATGCATGGCAAATATTTTCAAAAATTATCTCTGTACCTCTCCTAGAAGCTAGTGCAATTTATGAATGTCGTCCATAACAAATTCTACACTATTCAGACTTCTTGCGCAAAACTACTAGTGGTGAACTTCTGCTTACCTGCCCAAGGAGGAGATTGATGAAGAAATCAGTAGGAACAGCATCCTCCTGTAAAGGCAGCTTTGTTGGATTTGCCTTGAAAGCATAGACAGGAAGCTCAGAAACTGCTCGGAAAATGCAACAAGATGTTAATTTAACAGACGGAAAAACCTTGGCTCTGCTGACAACAAACTTCTAGAAGTTCAATATAATTTCTTTCTCCTCCAGATCCCTAAAATCCTCAAACATGATAACAAACTTTTAGAAGTTCAATATAATTCTTTCGAAATTACTGTGTGGACGACGCATGCGCGGACGACAGCGACACGATGCGCAATCCAGCCGCTCAAATGCGCTGGATGGTAAGCATGGACGGGCTGATATGTGATGTCGTGCACAAATCGGCCGGACAGCGTCGTGTGCATAGCAGCTCTCTAATTCTTTCTCCTCCAGATCCCTAAAATCCTCAAACATACAAGTAAAACCTGTGGCTCTTATTTTTAGCCTACCTACCCACAGTTGGAAAAAGAAATTACATCTGTTCAAGCGAAAAGAACACCCACGGTGACAGTTTTATATAACAGTTAAAATAGTAAAATTCCTCAATAAAGGATATCATTTCTAAAAGTGGTAAACGCAATTGTTTACTTGTAAAGATCCCAGCTTTCTGGGGAAACCAAGATATTTCCTTTATCCACAGAAACATCATAAGAAAAAGTTGCATAGCAGAAAATAGCATTAAAATTTTGCATATTCCATACGCATCTAACAGACCCGAAACAGAACAATCATTACAGCAACAGGATTCCGATCTGAATCGGGAAGAAAACGATACTAGATTCACCCAGGGACAAGGAGGCTCACCAGGCAAGCAACAATGTCCGAGGCAGTTCCTCCCACACCCTCCGCGTGGCCGCTCGCCAGCGTCTTCCTGGTAGTTGGACACGACGGTGGGTACCCTCTTAATCGTCAGCTTCATCTCCAACGTCTTACAAAGGAAAGTCTCCCGCTATGCTGGTTGTACTCCTCTGTTTCTCTCTCGGAGAGTGAGTCAGTCGGTCAGTCAGTCAGCGGATGATGGTTAGGGTGGGATTTGGTTAGTGGGCGGGCGAGAGGCTCAGAGGCGACCGCCGCCCGCGAGGAAGAGGAGGTCAGATGGGCTGCCGCCGGCGGACGGGAGGGCCCCGCGGCCGCCGTGCGGGGCGGGGCTGGAGGAAGCGATGGTGGCCGTTGGCTCCACCTGCGCAGCAGCGTGGCCGCGCCGGAGGGCTGCAACGCTAGCCGTGATGACTTTCAACGGCCCAAAAGGGGAGAGGGTGAAGCTCCGGTTGGGACTGCCGCGAGGGATCCGAAATCCCTCTCCCTCTCTTCTCTTCTCTTCTCCGGCGAGGCAGAGGGCGTGGCAATGGCGGTGTGTGGGTTTGGTTTGGCGTTGGGAGGCGAGCGGAGCCGGAGGGGGAGTGGGTGGCGTTAAATACGACAATGGTGGGGGAGGCGGATCTGTTTGTGTGGTGGGTTTTCGCTTCCTCCTCGTCTTCGGATTGTGGCCCGGCAATGCGTGATGAGTGGTATAGATGATACATCTCGGAGAGGGGGATTCTATTTTTATTTTTATTTTGATATACACAGAGCATGTGCTTTGGTAAGAGCATCTTCATATACGGAGAACACTAGATTATCAAGGCGCGCGTTGCTGCGCCCGCTAATCTTGTTGACATCTAATGTAGAAAAGAGAAATATTTGAAAAAATTTGTGTAGTTATAAATATCTAAAAAATTTGCACCATGTACTTTCTTGTGGCTTACACAAATTGTAGACTGACAGTTGCATCTAAAAACTGAGTTTCAGGTACCCAAATACACAAGAATTCAAGATACAAAAATTGATCAAAACCTACTACCATTTTACTTATTATATAGCTGACACCAATTATGGAAGAGCATCTGCATTCTGTACCTAGTGAGACCTTCTTGTAGGTGCTTCTATGTGCTGTTTGAATGTCTTACTTCACTCCAACTCTTTTTTCAAATAGTAGCAATCAGCTTTTAAAACAGCAGTAGCTTAAAACGCTTTTCTCTGAAGTTTGAACAAATTAAGCTATCATATGTTATTTGCAATAACAACTATGTACCTTTTCTTTCCTGAATATTTTTTTCAGTTTATGCAATATGGCTCGACTGCTTAGTGCTTATGTTATTTCTCTTGTATATTTCCTATGAATAAATATTCTCTGAAATGGAAATGATTATTTGATCATGGGGGAAGGGTGTGTGTTCCTACCAATCAAGCACAACATAATCTCTTCAGGGTTGTTCCTGCTCATTGGTTTAATCAATTGTGTCAATCTGTTACTCCAGTTTGTAAGCTAAATGCTTTCAACCAGAAGTTCTTTATCTTGCAACCTGAGGACATTGAGTAGAACTAAATTTTCTGTTAACTTTGTGATTATATAAGACTGTAAAGTCGCAAAACAGGGTGAATAATTTGATAATAATAAGTACAACCTAACCAAAGCATGGCCCAACAGCACATCCTCATCTCCACTTCGTCCAATGATTGGTCCCAGGCTACCGGTGGATTCCCATGTACCCTGAAGCCTGATACACAAATAACGTGGGATTTAGGTGGAGATTAATAGAGGCGTGGTGTTCAGGGTAGGAGAGGTGAGTTATGGAAGCGTTGTACAGGAGCTCATCAGCAGCAGTTCTCGAGCACGAAGGTGATGAAGAGGACATCGAGGTTGCTTAGCGTGGCGAGACAACATGCCTGCAGTTGTGAGGATTGAGGTGGTGGTCCATCGATTGCAGATGACTAGGTTATATTCCCGGATCGAACAAGTCTTCACTCTTCACCAATCACCACCTCCTTCGAAGGGCTCTATTTCAGGCTTTCCATCGCGGTGGTGAGGCAGTTCTCGTGGCTCTGTTTCCGGCTGGGCGGTGGATGCAGCACAACCGCGGACCGCTATAAATCACGGTGTAGTAAACTCTGTCCGGACATCGTCGGCGCCATCGCTCAGGGCATCCACATTCCACAATCGACGCTATGTCCTGAGGTCGCATGCTATGTTGCTGGGCGGGGGCTGGGGAAGCCATGGACGCCACATCGGGAAAGGAGTGTGGCACGCGCAGCAACCCGTGGGTTGGTCCCCTTCTTCTCGCCATTGGCGCCGCCTGCGAGCGAGCGAGGATTTTTTAGTGGCGCGCGCCGCCAGGTTGGACAAGAATTGTTGCATCTAGGAGACTGGTGTGAGATGAGAACGCACAGGGGCTGGAGTATCCCTCGGCAAGCCGACGTATGCCTTTGACCACCGCCAATCTGCCCAACGAAGGAGAAACTTCGTAACTCGGTCTGAGGAGCAGCAGCTCGATTGCGGGGAGCGGAGCACGCGCTTGGGAGTTCCTTATTTTGATCTGGTATGTTGGTGAGTTCCATCCGACGGTCAAGTATCTCAAATCATTGTGGAGGGTCATAGGTGGCTCTGTTATACTGTTTAGTAATTGTCAGGATCTTCTGGCGTAGTAGCCCGAGATAAGAATGGCAATTTTATTGCGGCTGCCTCATGGCTCATGCCTCACGTTCCTAATCTAGACTCAGCGGAAATGACTGCAATCAGAAATGGATTCTATTTGGCGACGAGCATTGGCTATAGCAAGCTGATAATTGAATCTGATAGCTCTTTTGCTATTGATGCCATGAAAGGTGAGAACGATTATGCAGGACCTTCCGTCCTAATGATGATGGAGAGTAAACAACTGATGAAGGAATTTGGCCAAGTTAATTTCTCACATTGTTTAAGAGAGGCCAATGAGGTGGCGAATATTATAGCAAAATACTCCCTCTATAAACTAATATAAGAGCGTTTAGATCACTAAAGTGGTTATCTAAATGCTCTTATATTAGTTCACAGAGGGGGTATGATTTTAGCTCTAGTACCTCTTGTGTTTGGGATGCTACCCCTGCCTTTATTTCATCTTCCCTTGTAAACGACCTTTCCATTATTTGAGGATTAAAGTCTCTTGATATCAAAAAAGATCATCCTAGCAAATCCCTGAAAATTAAATAGTACTTCCTTCGTCCCAAAATAAGTGTCTCAATTTTATACTAACTCTAGTAGAAAGTTGTAGTAAGCTTGAGACACTTATTTTGGAATGGAGGGAGTACTATTTTCAAATGTCACTCTCATCCTCTCAGGTTAGAGTACTATTTTCAAATGTCACTCTCATCTTCTCCGGTTGTGACAAGTGTCGTGCTGCATGTGCGGCATTTATTGCAATCTAGGAATCTTCCCTTTTTCGTAGATTCATTTATTCAAAATGTTTTATCTCTCAAATTGTGAGTCCAAATTATGAATCGTTTTCACCGTTGAATTCCCCGCGTCGATATCTTCAAAACTAGATCCCATGTTGATAGGTTTCTCAAAAGAAAGGAAAAAAATGGGAACATATTTTTCACGAGAAGTAAATACGTGCCTCCACGAGAAGTAAATACGTGCCTCTCATGGACGGAAAAAAAGTGTTTTCCTTTTTCGAGAGGCATGGTTGTCCGATCACGGGTTCCGGCAAAACCCTTAAGGTTCGAACACTGGGGTGCGCGCGAAGATCTCCCCCCTATCGATCTGTGTCCTAACTTAGCTAAGATCTCACGAACTAACTCGACGAACTCGCAAACACAAAGGACGCAAGATTTATACTAGTTCGGGCCACCATTGTGGTGTAATACCCTACTCTAGTGTGGCGGTGATGGATTGCCTCTTGGGCTGAGGATGAACAGTACAAGGGGAAGAACAACCTCCTGAGGTTGAGGTGTTCTTGTACTTGGCGAACTGGTTGTTGTTCGGGTGGATTCGAGACAAGTTCTGTTCTCTCTCCTTCCCTGTGGTGGCTAATCCTATTTATAGAGGCCCCGGTCCTCTTCCCAAATATTTGAGCGGGAAGGGAGCCAACAACGACCAGTTCGAAAGGGGACAACTAGTACAAGCTATGCTGACAAAAGCAGTCTTCGCCTGTCAAAGGCTCTGGTGGTGACGCTGTCTTGGGCTCCACGGTGACCTCCGTCTTGCCGTCCTTCTGGTCTTGGTCTCATTGCACCAATATGGAAACCTTTGCTTGATGCCTCGGTACTCCGCGCCTACGCTTGCCCCCTTAGCACCAAAGAGGAAACAAGGACGTTGCGCGCGCTGGCGCCCGCCTGGTGCCCGCCTGGTCTCGATCGTTATGGCTTACGTCATGCGAACCTCGCGAGGTTTGCCCGGCCTTGAACTCTCCGCCCCTCGCGAGCCAGCCTGGTGAGGCCACTCATGAGGAGGTCTTGTGTCATCCGCCTCGCGAGGCTTGGCCCCTTGCGAGGGTCTTGATTCCTTGGTGATGAAGATGGGCCGTACAGGCCTGCCAGCAAAGCCACACCGTGGGGCGCAGGCAAGCAAGTCTGGGGACCCTCGTTCCCAGAACGCCGATAGTAGCCCCCGGGCCCAAGGCGCGCTCGGGCTTGGCTTCGAGGCGAAGCCAAGGGTCAAGTGTGGAGCGCCGTGGGCCCCCATAGCCTGCGACCTCGGTTGACGCGTGGCGGTTGATTAAACGTGGGCATCTCCGCTTCGCCATGCTGCCTCGGCAACTGCCCGACGTGACAAGTCCCTGCGACATCCAAGGAAAACCATCATTACATGTGATCGTGGGGGGGGTTGGTTGGCCTTCTCCTGGTATAAATGGGAGGGGGCGGATGTAACACCCTGTATGTAACCTGCCATATTTGTATTCCAACTCTTGCAATTCTTGACTACCGTCCATTGAACAAGAAGACCATAAAGAACAAGTATCCACTTCCCAACATCAATGAGCTTTTCGAACAACTCAAAGGTGCTCAAGTTTTCTCCAAGCTTGATCTCCGTATGGGCTATCATCAGATTCACATTCGTGAAGAAGATATCCCCAAGACAACATTCAGAACAAGCTATGGTTCATATGAATACACTGTCATGTC